CCTAGATGGCCAGCGCCTGGATCATCGTAAAACACTCCACACTTAACGCTCAACCACATCTGCACTCCGTCGTCCAGGGCGAACTCTCGTCGATCCTGGATGGCCTTCGTCATCATGGTTGATCCTGGTGATCATTCACCGCACATCGCTTGGCAACACTTCTGAGGCACTTGTTGACACATTTGTAGTCGAGGTTGGTCACTGTAACACCAGGGCGGCTCAAGTCAGGACAGGTGGCTGCCCGAGATACGTTCTTCAGGGCGCTCTTCTCCCTTCCTGGGGTATCGGCGACTCGGACCGAGTGGTTCGTTTCATCCTGGATGGTTCTCGATCCTGGATGGCCATTCATCCTGGATGGATATTTATCCTGGGTGGCCATCTATCCTGGACGACCATTTATCCTGGATAACCACTTCCGAGCTTATGGTCCCTTCCTTGAGCACACGACTGCCAGCTTTTTCCTCAATCTGGAACTGCCTCTCTCCATGTCTCACACAGATGCCAGCTCTGGACTCATTCACCCTAACCAATCAGCACATTATTCCACTTCCTCGTCTCTCCTTCTTTCAAAATTGTAATCCACATCGTCACACTATACTCCCGTACGGGACTTCGGGAACGGCAACTTGACGACCTTCTCCTCCACATTCGAGGTCGTCCGGATTCCATCCGAGCTGACGTCTTGGCTGAGGTACTTGCACTTCTTGACCCCGAATTCACTGTTTGGGAGGACCACCTAGATGTACCAGTACCGGAGGACATTCAGTGTCATCCCAGGACGGAGCTCCGTAGATGATGTCATCGATGTACAAACCTCGGGATAGCACAGGCCCGGGGCAACCCGGTTTTGGTGGAACACGGTGTCAGTGCTGGTCCTGGAGACCACCGCCCCACCCGGGGCTCCGTGCCCTGGATACCGAGGCGCCAGAGTCCTCAAGAGAAATCCCCAAGAACTCTAGCCCCTCCGAGTCAACAAGCCGTTCATCTTCCGGGGGAAGCCAGACAAAGCCCTGAAGACAATTGTGCAGAAGCTGTTGATAATTCAAGGGGGTGTTCTTCAGCTTGAACGGCATGCGCTTCCACTGAAAGTGACCGAGGGGGCAAATGATAACCAAAATCAGCTGAACTCTGCCCGTCATCGGAAACTCCAGAACCCACTTACGATGTCTAAAGTCATGAACCACATACTGGCGGGGAAATTGTTCATTAGCTCGTCGATTAGGGTTAGGGGTAGTTCACCAGCTTTATCAGTTTCAACCGGTAGTCGATACACAAGCTGATGTCGGTGCCATTCTTTTTCATCACAAGGACAATGACTGATGCCCATTCCGAATTGGAATACTCGACCAGGCCTGTCTCCAGGAGACGCTTGGGCAACTCGTACACCTTGGACAATAAATCGGCAGGAATCCTCCGGGATCTCATGGAAATGCATTTAGCGTTCCAGGTCGCACAGAACTGCCTGGACCGGGGGGAAGCGCGTTTACTACTCCCAAGCAGATCATTCGGTGTTTCCGGAGGATCTCCCGGAGCATCTCTTCCTCTTCGGGGTCCGATTCTCCGAACTTACCAACGATCGCGTCTTCGATGTTGGCCTCGGGCCGAAGATCCCAGAGGTCGGGGAGATACACCAGCTGGTTCTTGAGCTTGTCCAATAGCACGAAGTCGAAACCTTGGTGGTAGTAGACGGCGGGTTCTGCGTCAAGACGTTCGGTAGCCATCGCCGCCATCACGAACGACCGGGCTAGCGTGACTTGGGCGTCTATGGGGCGGACTCCAGGGGGCCCCCGAGCCGATTCCCGAGAGACCCCAACTCCCGAACTGGATTCGTTCTCCAACGAGGTTTGGGTTTCGTGGTCCTGGATCCCAGTCTTGAGGCAGGGGGAGAGGGATCCTGTTCTGGGGGTTCACTCGAGACGACCATGACGCGGCTGGCACCAGGCACTGGAGCGGTTGGGGTCGTGAGGTCATCGGGCTTGGAACCGTTTCTACACCGGGGTACCGGGACCGACTTCGCTGACCGTTCGCCCCCCAGAAGGTCCCGGAGTCCGCCTGAGGACACGGGTTGGAGTTCGGTATGTCGGTCGGTTCACCATAGAAGGTGCAGTCCGTTCGCATTCCCGAACTTCCGCATCCAGGCGGCGTTCCGTCGCGGGTGGCCGCATGTTCTCGTAGACGAGGAATTCACGTTCGTTGTACTGGTAGGAGCCCGGGCGCACGAAGTTGTCCCCAAGCGACCGCAACCGATCGCGATCTGTGAGGGTGGCCACCTTGGTATGCGGTAGCACTTGGACCGGTCTTCGGGAGATCTTCACCACCCAGGCGGCGACCGGGACTCACTTCGTTCTAAAACCCACTAGAGTCACCCAACAGTCCCCGGACTGACCATGGACTCGAGGTCGGGTTCGGGGGTCCGGATCGGTATATACTTGCTGTTCCCGGGTGCTAACCAAAGCCTCTCGTGGATAGACACGTCGGTTCGCCTCAAGTGCGAGCATTTGGGACCTCCGACGAGGAGAATCCGTTCTTCGTCTGGGAGCACTACGTCTCCTTCGTGAGCGCACAACCGTACTCCAGCGGCGACAATGAAGTTCATCTCCAGAAGAACGTCGATGCATTTGCGATTCTCCCAACCCAGACATCTAAAGTGTATACCACGCGGTGCCCGAGTATTATCTTGACTCGGCACTTGTTCGTGACTTTGGTCTTCACACCATCAATACCGTTAAGCAGTAGCTCGCCCCGGGCTCCATCCTCAGCTGTTACCTTCGCACAAGGTCTAGGATGATAATACTGGTGTAGGTTCCGGAGCCGAGCATGATCAAGGTACGAAGGTGGAATGCGGAACCATGGACGAAAGTCACTCAACAGGAGCTGTCGTCCCTAGAGTTCGCTTCCCGCCTGCCTCGGCGCTCCCCAGGATGGAGTTCAAACGAAAGTTCATCTTCATTCTGGGTGACATGGCTGGTGTAGACGGAGTAGTCGTGTTTCACTTTTTGGTAAGAGCGAACGACACCTTGGTGCCCTCCTTCGATGGAGTCATGACAGTTGTGTAGCACCTCTTGGATCATTGTGGTTGGCACCACGAGCCTCAACGACATCTCGGGCTGGTTTTCATCGACCTTTCTCCTGGTCACACACGTGTAGTACAAGACGTTGTCACTTGACAGTACGAAGTTGTCCGCCCATTTCTAGGCTTTTCGAGCCTCTTTGTAAGTCATCGCTGTGGTTTCTCCTCTCAAGACGGTTTTCAGGTTCGACCACCTCAACTCCTCGTTCTGGGCCTTGGCGATACGGCGCCTTCGCTCTTCTTACACTGCAACCGGGTCAATGTCATTGGCTGTTGGTTCGTGTCGGACTTCTGCACTTGGTCGTTGTCCTTGCGTTTCCGAGTCCTCGTTGACTGCCTCAGTTGCCTCAGTATTGATCGTTCCTTCAGGAACTTCGTCCTCGAAGTGCACTCTTTTCTTCTTGGTTTTGGTCTGACTTCGAGTTGTAGCTGAGACTTCGGCGTGTTCTTGGTGCGCAAAATCAGCATAAGGCTTGCGTTGTAGCAAGATATCGCTGTCCGGGTGAATGTAGCGTGTCTTTCCGTCTGGAATTTGAGCGAAAGTTTCGGAACTCGTGTTTTCGGCTTTGATGTCGTCTGAAGACGGCTCATAGATCATTTCTTGGATTCTGTTTAGCTCCTTGAGCTCAGTCTTGCGGAGGTCATTGAGCACCGCCTTAGCCACCTTCGACTTCAATGCCTCACCAGCGAGCGAGTCAGCCGCTGCGTTGTACTCACACACCAAATGCAAATATCGGACTGACTTAGGCTTCGCCACGAGTTCTCGGTGGTGGTTCAGGAGTGTCATCAACGAATCCTTGCGGCATGCAATCACCCATAGTGCTTGCTGGATTGCCAACCTCGAGTCTCCAACGATGACTAAGTCCTCAGCACCACGTTCCAGGGCTGCTATTACCCCATGGTTCATGCCACTGTACTCAGCCATATTTACCGTAGTTTGCTCGAGGTAGGCACTCCCAGCGATCACTATCTGCCACTCTGGAAGCTTCCACGCTACCCATGAGCAGCTACCGTAGCCACCATTCTTCTCTGTCTTAGCGGAACCGTCAAATAAGACCACAAACGCTTCATAGTCATGGGGTAGCTGAGCGTAGAGTAGACTTGGGTCCAACCGAGTACTCGGTGAACCTTTAGTAGGCGGTGCCACAAGTGCTAGCGAGTCATCCACGTCCACGAAGTTAGTGATCGTTGACTGGAGCAATTGTATAAAGACGCAATCCTTCTCCCGAACTCGCTGCACTTCCAATTGCCATGGTGACAGCAACACCGCAAACTGCACTGCTCGACCGAAAAGCGACTTAGATTTGTGGACCCCTCCAATTGTAGAGAATCGGGTGTACACATGCAGTGTCTTTCCCGCCAGCTGGGTGTAACAAACCTTGAGCAGCAGCAACAAAGCTAGTACTTCCTCCTCTGTCGAGTGATAGTCTTATGAACCCGTCCGCAAAAGCGGACAGAGTGTAGTTTGTCGTCGTGCATCTGCACTTAGCGCTCACTCGTTGGCGTACAGCATGATGTGTACCTCCTTCTTCGCATCGAAATGTCGTAGGAT